TTATCATTGTAAGAATATATTATTGAATAAGAAGAAGATAAAGAAATTAGAAAATAAGCATAGAAATATAAGAAAAGAAGAAAATAGGCGAAAACTAAAAAAGTGCTACATATAGGTAATCTAGCATGTAAGAAATTCTAACAAATAAGAGCCACTGTATATACATGATATTTAGAAAAGAACATCGTACTAATCAGTATGAAAAGAGCATCTACGATCGAACAGGTCCTTGATCCTACATGTCAGGGGAATAAGAAAGAAAAAAAAAAAAAAAAAAAAAAAAAAAAAAAAAAAAAAAAAAAAAAAAAAAAAAAAAAAAAAAAAAAAAAAACCTAACCTAACCTAACCTAACCTATTGTGCGCACCATGTTGTTTGCGGCGGCACCTATGCGGTTGGCTAGCTTCGACTTGAGGTCTTTTGCTGCTTCTGTGTTTGTGGTGATCACCAAGTCGCTTGCCGCGTCGACATTGTTTACGACCCATGTTGATTTACCACAGCCTGGAACCCCGTTTACCCAGGTTATTTCTGGTGTGTCCCAGTTGCGCCAAGGATTCGTCGATTCGACAGTTTCCATTATTGATTCGGCTGTTGCCAGGATCCTATCGTCTAACATAACCTTGGTGCACCGGGCAGTCACAACTATGTGGTCACCTGGCGGAGTCGCAAACACCGGTTTACCTCTTTTCTCCGTTTCTTTCTTTTTCATCCATAATAGGCACAAAGCCAGCAGACTCGCAGTATGCCACCATGTAATTGTCAGCCATTTTGCCACATACGACATTGGATGTTTTGTTGTCGTATATGGCGGCTTCAGCCTCCTCAAGTTTAACCCTTAGCAATTCCTCGACTCCAAGGTGGTAAGTGTGCAAGATATCCTTGCACTTTGCGAGGTTCGCTTGTGATGTTGCTTTTATTAGGGCTATGTACTCTAGGAAGGCGTTCAACATGTGGTCTCTAAGTCCTGTTGGTTGTTTTAGAGGTGGTGGATGTATATTTATTTTCCCGGGTGTTCTGGGTGGCTGGATCTTACAGTATGGTCTTTTTGGTGGAGCTCTTGATGGACTGCCCAGTATGGCTCTTGTTGTGTCCCCTGCTTGATTAAGTTTGCGCCTGCTTGAATGGGCTATTTCCGCGATGTTTTTTTGCTGCGGCGCTGAGTGCCTCAAGCAAGGGACTTGCCTCTCTTTTTTTTTTTTTTTTTTTTTTCCATTTTTATGAGTCTCCCGTGCCCGCCTTCACTGGCTATTTTTTCTTGAAGACGGTCTGACCCGCTTTGCGTTTCTGGATTTGCAATGGGATGTCCCCAGCAGTCGACATAAGTGGCTGCAGCTGTGAAGTCGTGTTTGAGGAGATAGTTGAGGTTTTCTCCTCTGTTCTCGTACACGACGACCTCATGACATTCTGAGGCTTTGACACAGCCGATGCGATCGGCCACCATGCCTTCCTCATGTAGGACGTGCATTGCGTCCACGCTTATAACGCGGGGGACCGTATCTTCGTCCTTCTCCCTCCCTCCCAGCTGTGACAGCAGTGAGCATGCTTGTGTGAATGGGGTTTTGTCCTCCTTCCATGCGAATAACAAGACGATTTTGCCTTTAGTTCTTAGTATTCGGCACTTCTGGTCTGCGACAGTCACCTCCATCAACGCGTCATAGTGTTTGCGTCTCATGCTCGTTCTGAACGTGCTGCCATTCAGCAGGGATGCAAGTCCGGGAGAGATGGAGATATATTTGTTGCCAGTGGCCACACAAAAGCTTATTCCTAGGCGTTCAGTGTTGTTGTCCATGAAGAGCGCCACTCCTCGGGTCCTTAATCCCGGTTTTCCCACAACTCCGTTGTCTAGCAGGCTTTTTATGGTGGCTTGGTGGCTTGGATTTTGGGTTTTGATTTGCTCTCTGTTACTCGGCTGACTTACGTTTTGGCTTATTGTTTGGGTGGGTGCATCTATGGTCTTGTTCCTTTTTGTTACCGTCTGATAGATTGTTGCGGCGTAATTTAGGAAAAGTTCCCTTGTTGTTTCCTCGTCCATTAGTGAGTGAAGTTCTGAGGATTTTAGGCAGATCCCTAGTTTGTACTCGAGGTTAAGACGAGCCCTTGTAAAGCGAGGGCATTCCAGCAAGATGTGGAATATGGACTCACTGACATCAGGGTCGCATTCACAGCTAGGGCTGTCTTTTAGCCTAAATCTGTGAAGGTACTCCGCATGTCCACCGTGCCCCGTCAAGATTTGTACCAAAGTCGGCGTCGGTTTAACCTTCCTCATTGCTTTGTATGCGTTAGCAATGTTCGGAAGGAATTTTTTTTGTTACCGACGCGGTACCGGAGGTTCCGTAACGGTCCTGCCAAATGCAGACAGTTTCCTCCCTGATCTTTTTCTTGACATATGACAGAGGGACTTTGTCGTAGTCCATTTCTGCGCTGTCCTGTAAGGCCGCCGCTTTTGCTAGCTCGTCCGCCCTCTCGTTTCCGGGTGTGCCAATGTGTGCCCTTATCCAGAACAATCTTACGGTTCTTCCTTGTTTTTGGATTTCCCCTATACACTTTTGAATTTCTTGTGTTAGGGGATGACTCACCTTTGGGTTACTCAGTAGCTCGAGTGAGGATCTTGAGTCACTCAAGATGTTTACCACTGTTTCCGTGGATAATTTAGCTAACTGAGTTGCCCGTAATAGAGCGAGTAGCTCCGACTGGAAGACTGTGCAGAAGGAGTCCAACTTGAAGGTGGCGTGTTGGGTTTCCTTACCGTCGTTCCACCAGGTTAAGGCTGCACCGACCCTCTCTTCTATTTTACTTCCGTCGGTATAGATTTGAGGGCGGATACTTGGTGAGATGATGTTGGTTCGTCTTCCAGTAGGGTATACTCTACTCTTGTGAGTTGGGAGGGATGTGGAGAGCTCAAGTGATGCGGTGTTTGCTCTAGCTCTTTCGCCGGGGGGGAGGTAATCTGTCAGCTTTCTCCTCTTGGTTTTGTAGAGGTAGGCTGATTCCCTGATTCTCAGGTCGAGTGGGAGTAAGCCCGAGATGGCCATTGCGGAATTGAGCGAAACCGTGCGATACGCCCTGCAGATTTTTAGTGCAAAGCCCCTCTGCAGCGTGTCAAGTTGTTTTCTGACCATCTGCAGCTCTGTTGCTGGGTACCATGCGCTTGAGGCGTACATCACTATAGGCTCTATGACTGCTACGTAGATCGTTCTGGTTATCTCACCGTTGAGACCCCAGGTCACCCTCGCTGCACAAGCCAGTTGTTTATATATATCTGCTGCCTTTTTGCAGACTGCTGCAACGTGGTGTTTGAAGGTGAGTCTGTTGTCTATGGTGAGACCTAGAATTTTTATTTTGTCTACTATGTCTACTCTTGTACCAGACATTCTTACTGTAGGGGTTGCGTTTTTGAGTTTTTTAGTGACTACCATGGCGTTGGTCTTGTGGGGGGCGAAGCGAAGCTTGTTTAGTGTTCCCCACTGTATAACCTTATCGAGGACTTCGTCTGCTCGGCCCTCAAGATCACTCACTGAGTGCTCCGAGAAAACAAGCACGACGTCGTCCGCGAATGCCTGGCAGTGCACTTTTTCTTTAGAAAGGTGATTCAGTAGCGAGTCCAGAATGACGTTCCAAAAGGTCGGTCCTCCTATAGATCCTTGGACGCAGCCCTTAGTGGTTTTCTTCCTAAAACTCGCTCTGGCGTAGTTCACAACCACTTCTCTGTCTGTTAGGTACGAGCAGACCATTTTGTAGAGGTTGTTTGGGCACTTTTTCTTGGCAAGTTGAAGTTTGAGCGCGGGCCACCATGCGTTATCGAAGGCGCCCTCTATGTCCAGTGAAACAACCAGCACGATCTTTTTGAGATCTGCTTGCTGCCTAATATGCGTCACCAGATCGTAGAGGGCGTCCTCGGTTCCGCGCTGAGGCATGAACCCGTATTGTCTTGAGTTTAGAGTTGGCATGACGTACCATTGGATTCGGCACACCATTAATTTCTCTAATATTTTACCTAATATAGACAGAAGGCCTATGGGTCTATACGACTTAGGTTGAGAGTAGTCGTCTTTACCCGGTTTCCTGATGATGACCACGTGGGCGACCTTCCACTGTTTTGGGAAGTAGGCCAGTTTGAGGCATTTGTTAGCAATGGAGAGAAATACTTCCCTGTTGCAGTTTATGGCCGCCAAGCAGATGTCTGCTGTAAGCCCGTCTGGTCCTGGGGCTTTTTTGGGATTTAGTGCCTTTAGCACGATCTCTAGCTCGACATCCGCAAATGGTGGATCATCATCCTTAAGGTCTAGAAGTATCCCTTCTGTCATTTGCCTGATTTTTCCTGTGACTTTGCTGGTCTGTTGTCACATCATCATCAGGGTAGAATGTATGTGCCAATAGCTTTGCCGACTCAGTTGGAGATAGTGTTTCTCCTGCGTTGTCCCGTAGGAGCATGTCCTCCTGTCTTTTGGACGTTTGTCTAATAACTCTATAGATTTTGTCCCACATGCTCTCTTTTTCCTGAGTCGTGCAAAACTCTTTCCAACTTTCTGTCTGTGCCTCCTCTGTTCTCTTTTTGTATTGGTTCTTAGCCTCGAGGTAGTCTTCGATGACCGACTGCCTCCGTGTTGGTGCCGCGTTCTTTATTCTGCGTTTTTTCCTCAGAACCTCTTTTTTTTAGATTTTCTAATGACTTGGACCACCAAGCTGGTGCGGGTTTTTCCCTTCCTTGGCATATTTCAGGGATTGCTTCTCCGCAAGACTCCTGAATGCATTTTATGTATGCCTCAGTGATGGCTTCCAGTTCCTCTGGCGTCTTGACACTTTTGACGCGTCTGGTGTGATGTTATACTCCGCAAGTTTGAGTCCGAGATGTGTTGCGAAGTCTGACCATTTAGCCTTCCTTGTGTGATATTTGCGCGTTGTGCAAAGCCGAAGGTCTTGTAGACTTGCTCCTGTGCGCAAGGTGAAGGTTATGGCGTTATGGTCCGAGGTGGTGATGCTTCGATCCACACTCCAATTCTCAATCCTTCCCAGCAGTGGTGTACTGCAAGCAGTGACATCCACATGCTGGAGCAAAGTTTCCCGTTTCTGTACGCCTCAAACGTTGGTGTGTCTCCTGTGTTGAGGATATGGAAGCCGTTCTCGTCTAGGAAGGAACTGTATGCCGCCCCTCGCTCGTCTTCCTTTTCACTGCCCCACCATTGGCTCCAGGCGTTTACGTCCCCTCCCACAATGATGTTGTTTGTGTTGAGTTTGACGCAAGCAGCCTGGGTCCGCCTTAAGTAAGGTTCTATCTCGTGATCCCCTTCAAAGTATACCGACACTAGTCCTCCTAGGCTCATTGTACCGGTTACCAGCACAGCCGCCGCTTCTGTTTCGGTTACCAACTGAGGGTCATGGATCACCTCAAGTTTGTTCCCGAATATGATAATTGCGGCTTTCACTGGTTTTTGCCGGTTTAGGCTGCATTGGATGATTTGCGTACCTGGATACTGCTTCATGACGCCAGTACTTCCCACGTAGGGCTCTTGTACCATGGCGACCAGTACGCCGGTGTCCATTGCAGCGCGAACCAGTTCTACTGTGGCAACCTGGGATCTCTGGAGATTGGCTTGGATGAACTTTATTCCGCCTTGGTCGCCCTTAGCAATAACTTATGCGAGAACGCGCTATTGCATCCCACTTTTGCCAAATTTTGCAGTCTTTGTTGAAGGCGTTGTGTGCCAAGTCGATGCCCTCTGGATGGGATGATTCTTTGCAGTTTTTGCACATTGGAGGTAAGCCCTCAAGTCTACTGGGACATTTTTCCCACTTGTGGGCCCCTCCGCAGTGGCTGCTGCAGAGCTCATCTTTTTCTTGGCACACACCTCTAGTATGCCCAAAGCCAAGGCATTTGGTGCATTGCACAAGAGGCGAGTGGTCTAAAATTGGCCTTCTTTGGAGACCTATGTATATTTTTCCTTCGTCTATTAGTCTCCTGTAGACGGATGGCGAGAGCTCTAGTACAGGGTGGCATTCTAATGGATTGCGCGCCTTCTTCCTGTACTTCACTCTCAACACACAGGTCTTCGTGTCAATGTCTTGTAATAGATGTTTGTTTTGACTAATAATATTTTGAACAATTTCGGCATCTGAGTGGTATGCCAGCACGTCCCGCACGATTGCCAGTGGGGTTATTGGCTTTGGCGACTTCGGCTTTTAGTTCTTTGTTTTGCCGAATTTTGGTTTGGATTAGGTCCAAGTCATGTTTGCTCCCGCAGCTCAGGACGATTTTTTGATTACGCGCCTTCCTCACCCTTTCCACCCTGGCACCCGTTGTTTTTGTGTCCAGGGCTTCCCGTATAATGTCAATGACGTTCTCCCCGGTTTTTTTCGGGTCTGTCGATGACACTATAAGCGTGTGGTTGGGTTTTGGAGGTGGTGGAGTGGCCGCCACTCTGGCGTAAGAAGGCTTCGGTTTGCCTTCAGGTTTGGTGGCTATTCCCATTTCCGTCGCCAGGTTGACGGCCGTGTGATCCGAAGATCTATTTCGGTGTTCCCTTAACGTCCTAAGCTCCGAGCACATTATTTCAATTTTTTCCTGAAGGGGATTAATTTTCCTGTTCAGCACTTCCTCATTTATGGAAGCTGCTGTGGGATCGATGGCTTGCTGTTGTTTTGCCTGATCTTTTACTTCCTCCACTAGCTTCCTGAGGTTCGCAATTTCAGTTATGCCGTCATTAGTTGGGGAAGGAAGCGCCTTCTCCATACGCTTTAGGGTCTTGTGGCTGGACTCTATTTGTGCAAAGGTCTTTTCGCACATTTTTTGCAAGGTGGAGCGCATCTCATTTGTATTATTCGATAAGATCTCCACCTTGCCTTGTAGAGAGGAAATGTTTGCGGAGTTCTTGGCCGCTGCGTCATCTTTAGCGAAGTCCTGGAGGGCTTTGATCCGCTTTTCCTGTTCTTTGAGTCCACCCTGGATCTCACTGATTTTCCTGAATGGCTCCTGGGTTTCAAAGTCCAGCCAACTGCGTATGTTTTTGGCTTCCGTCAAGGTATTCTTGATTTCTTTTCTGGCACTATCCAGATCTGAGGCCAGTTCTTTTATCAGCCCCGTCACGGTCTTGGTGTGGGCGCGCTCTACTCGCATTAGTTCTTGTGCGCTGCGAGTGCGCTCCTTCTCCAGGTTATATTTATGTCGGGACCTGGAGTCCGATAGTGCCAGTACCATTTCGTAGAGGGACTGCAAGCACTCGAGTGCCGTCTGCTTGCACTCCCTCTTCATGTTACCGGCGCATTCTAATGCCTCCTTCCCTTTGAGGAGCATTTCGTTGGCTTCCTTGGTTGCCATATCCATCTCTACGCCAAGCCGCCTGCTGGAGTTTATCAATAAACTCATTCTACCCCTTTCCGGAATTTCGGCTGTGGGAGACTCAGGAACGGAGTTTACCGATGATGACTCGTCGTCGGAGATGATTGGACGAGGGTTGTCTTCCTCCAGGCTCCAGTTGGTGACTCTCTCCAGAGCTGTCTGGAGCGGGTCCGGGGCAGTGGCGAAGGTCGTTGTGGAGTCGCCACGATCGCTGGTTGATACCTTTGGCTTTGTGGTTTTTTTTAATACTTTTTCCCGCAGCGATCGCGGGGCTCGGGGAGGTGGAACAGGATTTAGGGTCCTGGATGTCACTTCGGAAGCCTGTGGTGCCGATTTGTGTGATGCTGACATTGTAATTAAGATAGTATGTAAAAATAAATAAAGTTAAAACCCTTTTTTTTTTTTTTTTTTTTTGTTTTTTTTTTTTTTTTTTTTTTTTTTTTTTTTTTCGGTTTCTGATGGGGCCAAATTATAGGACTTCCAGTCCTCTTTCAAATGACCCCAAACACGATCGGTGTATCTCAACTGGTTCCCGAGATATAGCCCGCGGGGGTGAGGCAGCCTCGAGGGGGGGAAGGGGGGGGGGGGGGGGGGGGGGACTTTCGTGGGGGTGTGATTAGAGACTAAAAAAAAAAAAAAAAAAAAAAAAAAAAAATGGGGGGGGGGGGGTTGGGGGGGGGGGGGGGGGGTTAATTTTCGAGGATGGGGTAAGTGGAAAGGTCTCCAAGTTCTGGTTAAAATGAGCCCAAACTTGGGAGGAATAGGATTCAGTTCCAGGGAGATCCCTCAAGGCTTACCCTCAAGGCTCAGGTGGCGAAGGCGTCAGCTTCAGGTCGCAGACCTAGGTGATTCCTCGGGCCGGCTTCGGAGTCTTCAGTCGCGTCCGTGTGACGTGCTTTCAGCACTGATACCGCGTGCTCACCGCGTGGTTCAATATGGCACGTGCTTTTAGGTTATTTTTTTCACACAATTCGGACGCCGATAACTTCCTCAATTCTGGATGGATTTTGAACCTTTTTTCACCGGCAGTTGCAGATTTTCGAGGACTTCCTGGTGATCTTATTTGTTTTTGGAAACCTTTAGATCCTGCGAAGTTATTTCTTGCTGAAGTTCCCGCTTTGTCCCGGATGAACCCGGTAAGATACAACTTTGCACACTTAAAACCTGTTTAGTCACTTTGTTGCGCAACTTTTGACGGCACTTCCACTCGCGTAGCTCAAAAATTGCAGTGTGTAGCAATTTTTTCGTTGGAGCTTATTGTGTTGTCGACCACGTATTAATGCGTACTGGTTACGCTGGTGACTCCATACTGGATTATAATTTAAAAATGGCAATCCGAGACATAGGCGAACGCAGCGGGATTACAATCCGGACAGCGCAGCGGTTAGCAGCTAAAATTTAAGATCAAAGAGAGCCCTGCCGACTCTTTTGGGTAACTGCATGGCATTCGGAAGTCTCGGAATGCACGTAGCATAAGGACTAGAATAATTATATACATATATTGTAATACTCCATGTAGCACTCTTGTATAATTTAAAAAAAAAAAAAAAAAAAAAAAAAAAAAAAAAAAAAAAAAAAAAAAAAAACAAATACTAGCTTATAAGTACAATACTAAGTATAACATATAAATTATATAACATAAAAAATAAAAAAAAATAAAAAATAATAAAAAAAATAAAATAAAAAAAAAAAAAAAAACAAAAAAAAAAAAAAAAATAATAAAAAAATAAAAAAAAAAAAAAAAAAGAGAAGAATTATACCAAATAATTACCTTAATATTAGAGTAAGTTAAATAAGTAAAAATGTAACAAATACTAGCATATAAGTTCACTACTAAGCATAACATATAATTTATATTAAAAAAAAAAAAAAAAAAAAAAAAAAAAAAAAAAAAAAATTATCCTCACTGCTGTAGCTGTAACTTTTAGTTTTAGTTGATGTAATTAAGAGAGTACGCAACAACGCTGTATTAATAAAATTACGCAAGTTTTTAAAAAAGGTACGGACCAAGTGTCTGTAGAGTAGAATTTATTTAAAAAAAAAAAAAAAAAAAAAAAAAAAACCTAACCTAACCTAACCTAACCTAACCTAACCTAACCTAACCAAACCTAACCTAACCTAACCTAACCTAACCTCGGCGGACCTGGTCTGTGGCTCCGCCGCTCACCACGTTCGGCCGCGGAGGATAGGGAGAACGGCGCACCGCAATACCGACACTCCTCTCCCCCCGCGGCCCCACCACAGCTGTATCAGCATCTGTCATGATTCCCCAGGAAGTGGAAGGAGGCAGTTGTCGTCGCCCTGTGAAAGCCGGGAAAAGAATCCTATACGCATCCAAAAGCCTACAGCCCGATAGGTCTCCTGCCAGTTCTCGAAAAGATCTTAGAGAAGATGTTGATAAGACGGATAAAATGGTACACCACTCCAGCTATCAGCAAGAAACAATATGGCTTCCTCCCACAGCGTAGCACGGAGGACTCCCTCTATGACATGATACAGCTTATTAGATCAGAGATAAAACATAAAAAACTAATAGTGCTTATATCACTGGACATGGAGGGGGCCTTCGACAATGCTTGGTGGCCTGCCATTCGCTGCAGGCTAGCGGAGACCGCGTGCCCGGTAAATCTGAGGCGTATGGTAGATAATTATCTTGAAGATAGAACAGTACGCGTCAGATATGCCGGAGCTGAGTGGCAAAAAGAAACGTCCAAGGGATGCGTACCGGGCTCCATCGGAGGTCCAACTCTGTGGAACCTCCTTCTGAATCCCCTGCTGCAAGAGATTGCAAGAAAGGGTGAGCATTGTTAGGCGTTTGCGGATGACATACTACTAATATTCTCCGGCGAAACAGCACGGGAAATTCAAGAGAGGGCTATCTCCATACTCGACATGGCCGGAGAGGCATTGGAGTACTCTCGAGAAATTAAGATCTTGGGCCTCACCCTGGATAACAAGCTAACTTTTAATACGCATATAGAAAACACCTGTAAGAAAGCACAAAAAATATACAAACAGTTAATCAGGGCGGCGAAAATCAGCTGGGGATTAAACTCTGAGGTAGTGAGGACTATTTACACGGCGGTGGTGGAACCGATTGTTCTGTACGCGGCAAGTGCTTGGGCACCGGCCACCAAAAAGGTACAAGTAAGGAAAAAACTAAGTCTGGTGCAACGTGGCTTTGTGCAGAAAATAATAAAAGCATACAGGATCGTCTCTCTAAACTCGGCCCTACTACTTGCCGGACAACTGCCTCTTGATCTCCGGATTCAAGAGGCAGCCCCTCTTTATGAAATAAAGAAGGGACATAACCGGAGGGTGGTGGGAGACCGGGAGGTGGAGAGGCAATTTCCATACAAAGAGACGCCTCACCCAGCTAAACTGGTGGGGATGGGATACTCATGCATGGGAAGCGGTGCGGAGGAGGACCAGAATGGCCATACATCGGTCAACATCTACACAGATGGTAGTAAAATAGAGGGGAAAGTGGGCGCAGCGCTATCTATATGGAATGGCGCCGTAGAAATAAGTACTCGGAAAGTAAAACTGGAAAACTTCTGCACGGTGTTCCAGGCTGAGCTCCTGGCCCTAACTGAGGCGTCAAAAATAATAGTCAAAAACTCTGCACAAAGCTACAGAATCTATAGTGACTCCAGATCTGCTCTGGACACAGTGAGCCGGAGTGATTCCCTTCACCCCCTGGGTGTTGAAACCAGGCAGAACATCGCCAAAATCCTAGAACAAGGAAAAATCCTTGAACTTTTTTGGGTCAAAGCCCATGTGGGGATGGAGGGAAATGAAAGAGCAGACAAACTAGGCAAGGAGGCCGCGCTCAGGACAAAAAGAAGACCAGACTACGATCTCTGCCCGATTTCGTACATAAAGAGGAAAATCCGCATGGAAACTCTCGAAGAGTGTTTCCTAAGTTACTGTAAATACATTAGTAAAAAAATAGCAAATAAAACTAAGTAGACCAAGGGAATTGGCTACATACATGCTTATATGTATAGGGCACAATCTCCAAAACCTGGAAAAATGAAGAAGTATATTAATTATTTTTTAAATAAAACAGTTATGATTACTCAGATAATTAAATTTTCAATAATTATTCTAGCTTGTTACATAATTTTAAAAAAAAGGTGAGTCTTTCAATTAGGAAGTTTTTTTTGTTGAAAACAGGAGTTTTTTTTTCTGTTTTTTTTTCTTCTTTAGGAGTTATTTTTCAACAGTTGGTAACACTGAACTGCGGCCGGTTATTATTCATGTATTTTATTCGGTTATGTTTCATTATTCATCATTTTATTTTGTTATACGTTACGGAAAAACATTAATATTGTATTTACAGGTAAAGACAGCAACGCAAATTTGCATTCTTTTCCTCACCTGAAAATGATAGTGACAGAGTTAAAACATGGATTCAATCGATTGGAGGAAATGTACTGATTTTGGATAGCCAAAAATAATTTAACGTTAATAATTTACTAAACGGCACCAGACTCGAAATCATTCATAACAAAGATTATAAAAAAAATAGCGAGTGAATATAATAAAAAACGAAATAAAGTTCGCAAAACACATTTTTGTATTTTATTTACTATCCAAAAATAACATCTAGGAAGCATGTATCCAATTACAGTTGTCTATTCAATTCATATACACTATATAGAAAACTGTAGAAAATGGTTAATTAGTATAGGTTATTTAGATCTGAACTTGTAGTTCGGTCCAACATCAAGAGATGGCGCTGTCTCACGGGGATGCCGATGACTCTATATTAATAATGTACCTACTCTTTGGCATAAACTGTCAATAAAGTACGGATAACGGACGGAATGACTCCACCATGATGTTCATAATCACGGCATGGAATCTTTGAACAAAAAAATTAGACCGTATTAAGACAATAAACAAGCGGTAGTAGTCTAGAATATGACATTTCTTTTTTTTTTTTACTTATTGTACTAAGGCTACTCGAAGAATTCTGCCAACAATATTAAGACGATGATAAATAAAAAGATATTTATTATGATTAATTAATGTTCACTCGGAGAATGTTAATTGTGAAGAAACTTCAGGAGAAAAAATTTTAAAATTAAAAAAAAAACTTTTTAGACCTAAACCAAAGTAAAAATTTGTCTCGGAAAGATTCCGAAAATATTCAATCGGCTAAACATAATGGCTATCGTGCACTCTCGTGCATTTAATGCGGGATGAGTTGTGAAAAAATGTTTGAGTAAATTCAGCTGTGTGAAATGTAAAAACTGTTTGTCCCAAAATAATGTATCTTCTATCCACAAATGGATTTCTCTCATAGAATATAAAGAACTTAAAAATAAACAAAAACTAACCTATCCCTCAGAATTTGCCGTTACGCTTTTTTCTTATATTGTCAAAGAACGAATATTTAGAATTGAAAATAATTGCGAACGAAATTTCAAAAGAAGTACTAATGAAATAAAATTTAAATATTCATTTGATTTCTTATTATCTGAAAATTACAAAGAGACTCTGCTTCGTTATTTAGTTTCCATCACAATCAAATTATCTGAGATTAACTGGTGTATTATCAAAAATAAAATTTTAAAAGTAATTGATTTAATGCGCCTCAACGATCGTTTACCGCCTATGCAAAGTAAAGCACTTGAAAAATATAGAAAATAGTTAAAAAAGAAAAGATTGAATAAATAGTATAAATGCTGTTTTATTTTAAAATCCTAATGACAATCATCATTATTTTTATTTGGGACGCCACTTGTGTAGACACTTTGGCTGCCTCTCATTTAAGGGGTACTTCGGTCAGGGCCAGGGTGGCATCGGAGGCAGCTGAAGTAAGTAAATGGCGCAAATATGAGTCTTTATATTTAGATATGTATTTGTGCCATTTGCTGTTGAAACTTTAGGTCCGTGGGGTCTTCGCACATCAAATTTTTTTAAAAGTTTATGTCCTAGGCCTATATATGCTATATATTAAAAAACAGCGGCCTTCTATATATTAAAAAAATCATAAAAAATTGACCAGTGCAACATTGATTTTTAACAAATATTACGGATTAAAGTAAAGTTTCACGTTACTTTAATCTTATTTGAAATATTAATATATATAATTTTTAAAACGCCGATCAGCGTCTAGTGACGTCATCCCTGTTTTGCCAGCCTAGAAAGGTTAACATTGGAAAGGTAAACATTGTTTTTTTGCGAAATTTAATTGTATTTTTGAATAAAAATGGAGATTGGGATTATAAAAGCAGATTGAGATTAGAAAAGCATTTTGTTGAAAGTGCAGAGGTTTCAAGTGTAGAAATGAAAGGGATTTAAATGTTACGGTATGTATAAATCACAGTCAGACTTTGTATTTGATATTTCATTCAGCAGCTTCTACATTCAGCAGTTATTTCAGGGCAACAAGGCAATTTTGTGGCGACAGCGCTATCGGTTATATACAAATCAAAAGATATGGAGAATCATGTACGGTAAAAAACTCGAGTTACTCCGGAGCATGAAGTACTTAGTGGTTATCGTGTGACAATGGTTATAAATGAAATGCAAAGCTTGGTTCAGTCCTGCCAGTGCGAAAATTGTGCAGCCCCTGAAGGTGAAGAATTGAGGTTTTTATAAAATACAATAGTTAGTGTTTTATAGCACAGATTATGATTAAAATATCTTTCCAGGTGGGTGTAAACATGCTGCCTTATTGCTATGGTTGAACAGAACATCTGAGGAGCCTTCGACTATGTCCATCACATGTTATTGGAAGAAATCAAAATTATCTATATGGGCTTCTGGAAAATCTTTTTAAAAAGCCAAAGAAATGCGCCAGATTCCAGTCACTGACAGTTTCTCTCAAGTATCAGTTTTACATACTTTTTTATTTAGAGAAATAAATAAATGTATGTTATATACTAAAACAATAACTGTATATTTTTAGGTGGGTATTTTAAATGTGGTTAAAACAAAACATTGTCAAGAAAATATTATACCTAATATTTTTAGGATAGCAACTAAATATAAACATACATAAACTTTGTTCAGGCGTGGTTGTAAGCTTGGACTCTCCACAATCATTTCTTGGAAGATAAACAAAATGACGTCTGATCATATTAACATGGTGTTTTTCCTATTATGGTTTAAGGTAATATAGAATGTAATATAGTTTTTATTTATATACTCAATTTATGTATTTACAAAAACAAATTTTCATGCATAGATAGCATAAAGTTATATGTGAAAAGTATAACGGTGGTAGGGCCACGCAGCAGCCTCGGCTGTTGCATGAATGGGTAGGCTTGTCCGGGTAAGTACCACAACCTCACAGAAGACCGGCGTAAAGTGGAAGTATAATATTTTCGCGTTTTGTCTGGTGAGTGTGGTGGCCGGAGCCTTAATTTTCAAATATCAACGCATCAGGAACCCTCATGGGCGGCGGTATTCACAACATCAGTTGAACCGTCTGACATAAAAGAAAAAAAAACATTTTCTATTTTTACAGGTATGGAAGTATCATTGGCTCGACTCTTTATGAAGTTCCTCACTGCAAAAGTATAATTGGTTCTCTTCTGATTAAAATTATGGAGGCACCATGAAAGTTTACTTCTATTGCAATAGCTAGAAGGACAAAACTTGAAAAATTTTGGGCGCAAGATGCTTAAAATGTTATTCAGCAGAAGAAAACATTGCAATTTTCTGTGTAGTTAGGCTAAATTTTGAAAAAGTAGATGTGTATTATGTGTCATTTGATTGCAGCATCATATCTGTTTTGGATGCTGCAATGAAGTCCTGTGTAGATGCTGTATTCCCAAAATTAAAAGATTTATAATAACATTTAACCATACTTTTCAATTTTCTTAAACATTTAAAATAAAACCCTGTTTATTTAACACAGTTTTTTTATTCAATTTTAATTAAGGCTCATTGTAAATTGACAAGAAAAACAAATGATCATAGCATAGTTTACATTGGGTATTAAATAAATGATCAACACAGGCGTGTGGCTTTGGAAAATCAAACACACGCAGTCTTCTGATCTCTCTTTCAATGTGAAAAAAGGTTTGCAATTTTTTTCGAGCTTAAAACATCCTTCTTCGCACTTTAACTATTTGGGAAATTCGTTGAAGCCGATGAACACATAGGCACGAAACACGCATCAACACGGATTTTTTTCGGAACATTGGTGGTATTGTTATGATTACCTGATGTTGATTCATTGTATTATTTGTTGTTAATTTTATTTATTTATTGTACTTTGAGGTATTTATTTAAAAGAATAATAATAAATTTCTAAAAAGTCAAAACTTATGCCATGAGGCAAATTATATTATATGGCAAGTTGGTAAGGCAAGTGACAGGCAGGAGTAACGTCATCGCAATTGTAAATCCGTTGTCGCGCGAAAATTTAAACCATCAATTTGAAATCGCATTTTTTCACAATAAATTACAGTATTTTAATTTTTTTAATATACTTGTGGTCTATTCTAGATGAAATCCATTCAAATAAAACCAAAAATGAAAACATTGCATCTATCAAAATAGGGATATTTGGCCTCTTAGACGGTTTGCTTTTGCCTAAAAAAACTTATGAAAATAAAAAAATAACACGTCAAATTCTAAGTTACCGTGCTCTAATGGTTCATTGGTTGTATGAAGATTCCCGTCTGATGCATATCATCTTAGTAGTCTGTGTTCATAATGTAGGTAAACAACTTAGTGAACGTAGCTTCGTCAAAAACTTAAAATTAATCTCAATGTAATATATTTTTTCAAATACTAACTTTTTATTTGTGGTAACTTGTGAAAATTGTTTTTCATTTTAAACAACGCCATTTGTCTATTGGATGAACTATACGGAATGTGCAAGCACCATACAGATATCAAATGTATGGACTAAAAAGACGGTGCTAACGAGTGCGGTCAGCGCCGGCGGTGATGAGGTTCTAGGCGGAATGAAGCCGGGGCCGGCGGGGTCGGTAATCTATCCACAATACGTGTACATTAAGGAAATTTGGTAAAAAATTAAGTAATTAGAACGAGAATCGAGTACACAGAGCTTTCCTTAAGTATCTTTAGTGTCTCACCAGTCATAAAGTATAAAAATATGTATGTATTTATAAACTGTTAATACTTGTTTTTAATGTTGATAACCGTAGCTAAGCTATTGTCATCAGCACCGGTGATAGCGAATTTTATTCCCACACGGAACAAGTATTTGTATGACCCACAGATAATAATTCTTCCATACCTGGGTACTTGTTTCCAAGAAGGGTTGACCTGCCTGGTCGTAAAAAACCTAGCCAAAACTACTAAGAACATCATTCACATGTTGTGCCGACCCAAAAAGGTGGCATAAGGGCAGGAGGATGATGATGATGATGATGATGATAAATAAAAGACAAATTTTAGAAAGGTTGTTCATTTTATCAATATATCATTTCGTATTTACAAGAGATGCAACATCACAGAGCGGCGACGGCAGTCGCGGCCGGCGGGGCGCCGTGCACGGGCACTCGCGGCACTTGCGGCACGTGCGGCAAGTGCGGCACTTGCTGTGCGTGCGGCAAGTGCGGTAAGTGCGGCAAGTGCGGCAAATGCGGCAGGTGCGGCAGATGGGGCGGCGCCTCGGGCTCATCCAGGTCCAGCGCGGCGTCGATCATCGTGGTGTCGTGCAGCAGCTGCAGCCGCGACGCGCTGAGCGCGTTGCCCGCCCCGCGCCCCTCGCCGCGCCCCTCGCCCCGACCCTCCCCTCGACCGCCGCCTATGCACACTTCTGTGGAAACAAATATTCCGAATGTTACGCGTTGACATTGAGGAAATTCAGAAAGGTATGTGAAAGCGAACCCATATATGATTCTGTTAGTGACCTTGCAGCGGCACGGGGTCCAAGTCCAGACTGTGGTTCATGTAAGCATGTCGAGGTGCCAACTCGCCGCCTGCAAAATAAGGAAAAGTCTATATAATTGTAGCTAAGCCAAAACGTTGTTATAAAAGTTGGTTAAATTTGGCCGTACCGTCGTGCCGCAACGTGCCGAAGGTGGCGGCGAGAGCGGGCGATCGCTGGATGGGGGCGGGGGCGGTGGAGAGCACCTGCACGAAGATCGGCGGCAAGTCACCACTCTCTGCCGACAGGATGCCGCGGCTGTAGACGTGCACACCAACGGTCACATATTTCAAAAAACGAGTGTGCTTTAGACCACACGACTCAAGTACAACTTCCTCAGTCCCACCCCCTCTCTTGCCCCTACAGTAATATACGAAACGTAACTTTCGTTTTCTCTCCTTCTATGTTCACTAACTTACGACTCCCTGTCACCTTCCCGCTGCCGCCTCGCTTCGCTGGCCCGATTACCCTTTTCGTAACGCTCTCCCCAAGTGAAGCGGAAAAGATAAAGTGCTCAGAGTGAGGTACCGGTCGATGAGGCTGGGCGCGAGCGGGCCGCAGAGCACGTGCCAGCAGTTGGCGCACGCGTTCCCGCGCGAGTAGGGGTTGGGGTTGGAGACGCCGCCGCGGCTCGAGAACGAGCCCTTGATCTGAAAGGGAAGCGCGGGCGCGATGAGAGGAGGAATCGGGATCGCTCGGAGCGCGTTCGGGCGCGGGCACTCACGTCCTCGTTGGTGGTCTGGTCGGTGGAGGCTAGGTAGGTGTGGAAGCCGGCCAGGCCCAGCACCGACCAGACGGAGAGGAAGCAGACGGCCGCCACGAGCGCCGAGGCGGGCGAGGCGCGCAGCGCGTGCGCCAGGCCGGCGCCGCGCGCCAGCAGCGCCAGGTGCGCCACGGCGCAAGCGAACACGAACACCGCCAGGAAGGAGAGCGACACCACGAACGCGTAGAAGTGGCGGTAGTTGCGCCTGCCCACGCAGTTGCCCACCCAGGGGCAGTGGTGGTCGAAGCGGTCGACGCAGTTGTCGCAGAGCGAGCAGTGCGAGGCGCGCGGCGGGCGGAACATCTTGCAGGTGAAGCAGTACTTGAGCTTGACGGGGCGGCCGCGCACCAGCACCTGCTTGGGAAAAGCCCTAAGCTCAACAAAACAAATGTTATCATATTACACATCTTGGAAATTTAAACTTTTTTATATTGCTAATCTCTGCACTTAAAAACAATGTAGATAAAACACGTTAAGATTTTCGTCGGTGTGGCAATCAGTCGTTTAGCTTAGTCGCTAAAGCGTCAAGCCACTAATGCCGAAGACGTGGGTTCGATTCTCAAAGCGGCGACAATCTTTTCGCACTTTTTCTACAAGTTTTAATGTTACATATCTTTTTGAATTTTCAAAATATTTATTAAAAATTATTAATTATAATATTTATTTTTATAATCATCTATAACTATATTTATTGATTATTATTATTATTATAAAATTATACATTATTTACTTTTGCAATAATAAAAGTAATTTTATCAAATTTTTAAAATGATTATTTTTACAATGTTCTGACTTACCTCTTTATTTTCAGTAAAGAAGTTGTACTACAAAATAATTTATCTATAGAGATAAATAAAATTGGAGTGTCTGTTTGTAATATTAAAATAACCGCTTTATACTAAATGCATGCTACATATACCAAAAACCATTTTTTTAAATTTTTGATTGTCTGTCTGTCTGTTTATTTCGGCTAATCTATGTAACGGCTGGACCGACTCGGACGCGACTTCCACAGGCAGATAGTTGACGTATTAAGGAGTAACTTAAGCTACTTTCATTTTAGAAATTTTATTTTAAATTCCAGACCAAACAAAAATTTTTTTTGGTTAAGAGAAATCACTAATGAAATAATCAACCAGCAGAATTTGGCAGTCGCTTATAGTTTTCGATAAAAAATAATATTTAAAACTTGTTATTTTCACTAAATAAATCCGCCATTTTGTGTTTGACAACATGTATAAATTTGCAAATTCACACACTTCCAAATTATAACCTTCGCATTATTAAAAAAGAGTCTTTAAAAATACTTAAAGTAATCAACCAGCAGAATTTGGCAGTCGCTTATAGTTTTCGATAAAAAAAAATATTTAAAACTTGTTATTTTCACTAAATAAATCCGCCATTTTGTGTTTGACAACATGTATAAATTTGCGAATTCACACACTTCCAAATTATAACCTTCGCATTATTAAAAAAGAGTCTTTAAAAATACTTAAAGTACTGTTACACTAAAGTTTACTGGGTGGTTATAAAAAAAATAACCACGAAGGCTAAGGAGGCTTGATATTGTAAATAATAGAAAGTGCTGTAAAAGTATTTTATACAGTAGCATTACCTATGCCAGCAACTGATATTAATACCTTGAAAATCATTCCAAACCCAAAATAGACAGAAGCTCTATGTACATAACAAACAAAATTAACATAAAAGGAACTAAAGCAAAAATAAGTAATAGTTTGACTATTTCATTGAAATAGTTTGGCTATATGAAGTACTTTATAAGTAACAAAAACAGTAGATAAATCTAGGATAATGTTTTACATAACTTTCACTCATAAATTAAAAATAATTAAAAAGAAAAAAATGTCAAATCATAAAGCGCACACAATATTAATGTATTTTTAATTAATTTAATTCACAGACAATGAAAGAATATTGAAGCTATTTTGATTGAAAATTTACCAAGTTAAATACCTTCAATTATTTTCCTACATAGAGTAGAGAAATACTAACGGGGTTAGCAAAAAACTGTCCATATTGGATTAGGAATTTATTTCATAAACTTACGTGTTTTGTATTTTCTGGTGATTATCTGATAAGATAGTTTCTGCAGAAATCCATCACAAAAATCTAAAGATAAGTGGTTATACCTTTGATAAGCACGAAACTTATTATTATTTTCTTAATGTATAAACTCCTTTTAAACTTATACTAACAAAATTTAAATAAATAACACTACGTATATATTTCTGAATTCATGCGATTTTGTAGCGTAAATAGTATTTTATTTAATAAAATAAAGTTCCATAAAACTTTCTCTGTTGTGTGTTTGACAATGACAATTGACAAGACAACCTCAACTAGGAACGGGGTTGGATTTAGGTATGATGAAAAAGATTGACAAATTGAAAAGGATAGAATAAAAAATATATATATAGTACACTTTATAATTTTGATTTTAACAAGCATTAATTTACTCGTCTTGCAAGTTTATCAGTTCTTCAATATTAGTTACATCCTTAGAATTTACTTTTTTTAACATATCCTCAATGGGAATAAATAGGAATAAAACTTGTACTTAACAAGTTCCATTACAACACAATAAAATGCCGTTCTTATCTTAGCTTAGGGAATAATAAATTAATCGTACTATTAGACATCAATGAACTCTATTAACTACCTCATAGTATATAGAGTACGAGGCATGAAATTAGAGTATAAACACTATAATTATAGTACGAAATCCTACCCTGACTGAGTTACTTTCTGCGAATGTCAAAGTCAAACTATGTTATCCAAAATATTTTAGAGCGTTCAACTAAACACTCAAAATGATGAGGATATTCCTTCAGCCATTCCACATGACGAGTCGGTATGTTGTCATTATATAATGACGTCATTATTTCTACATTGTTAATACGACCGATCTGAAGAGCTGGGTTGTAGAGGACGTCTGTTATGAGAAATGCTCTATATGATTCGCAAAGAGATTTTAAAAAGAAATTCTAACGATATTTTGAAACGAATATTATTTAGACACTTTAAAATGAAGTTTTAAGTGTATTTCCGTCCGGGGAAGTACCACAACCTCACAGAAGACCTGCTTCAAGTAGGAAGAGATATACTTTTGGGCCTAGCTTTATTAAAAGATGGGTGCTGAGTAACGGCCATAACTCGATGCTTATCCTTACAATCTGCACTAAACGCCCTCGGTGAACGATTCAGAAAATGCCTAATTAAATAGAAAAGTAACGCAATCATGCTTAATAGAAAAAAAATCTTATTCCCGTTAAAATATTCACTCAACCTAAACTGTGAGTAAGCGAGGCCACAAAGATTTAGGCAATGCTCAGATTTAAACAGCACATTAAAACCACTGAATCCAGATTAATATTTTGTTCTTCCATGTTTCGTTAACATAAATAAGTAATGACCTAATTAATTAAAGTGGTCTAAAAAAATTGAAAATTTGGCACCATAATCATATTTTTTTTTTGAAGTCAGCAAGACTTATCGACGTCACGTCATCTGACGTGTGATCGACCATCATACGTCAAATATTTTTGGCATTGATAATTTTTGAATTCGTAACTATGCTAAACTTGTATTCATGGCCAAGTATTCATAATTATATTACGTTCGCATTATTTATAACATAAAAAAGCGATCTGATTTAAAAGTACACAACAAAACAGTGTATTTAATAGTTAAAATTAGTTATAAGTAACGCATTTTACTACAAAATTTAACAAAATTCTATAAAAATAAAATGTAAAGTGATGTGGGTGAAAGACCTAATCTGAATCTGAACGACACCGGAATTTATTCCGGCAAAAATGGGTATGCCTGGCGGACGACGCGAAGCTGTAACTATAGTGGCACTATGCATTGCCTGGTACACCCTCAGTTCAGCTAGTAATGTTGTAGGCAAGCTTGCGATGACCGAATTCCCATATCCTCTAACAGTGACTATGGTGCAGCTACTATCGGTGGTGGTGTACAGTGGACCAGCTTTCGCATTCTTCGGTGTGCGTCGTGAACCAGAGTTCTCGCGCCCGTATTATTGGCGGGTTCTTGTTCCTCTTGCTGTTGCCAAGTTTTTTACTACAATGTTCTCACAAGTTTCCATATGGAAAGTGCCCATTTCCTATGCTCACACAGGTAACTACATTATTAAATTATAACTTCTTAAACTCACTACAAAGTAGCCCCTTAAGTATGAATGTGATGTATTTAAAAATATAAAATGTGTTAATATTAATATCAAAACAAAAGAGAAGTAGTATAAAAATATAATTGAGACATAAAAATATACAGGGCTTTCTTTAGCGTTAGGGATTTTTAAATATTAAATTTTTTTATTTTACAAGTGCTGATATTTTGAATACTTTATGGCGTTCAGGCAAGGCTGGTAAGGTTTATTTCCAGCTATCACTGTAGGACTACTGTAGTTGGAAAATCATTAATTTTATTCTGATCTAATTGTTCTGAGAGTGGTTGTGTTCTTGGGGTTAGATTTAATTTTATTAATATCCCGAGCCAATGTTTGTAAATTACTCCAAACAAATTTTGGAATTTAAACTGAAACAATCTTTAATAAAATCCATAAATTAGTTTTATTGAAATGAGAGTACAAGTAAAATTGGTTGGCTTATATCTATGTGAGATGATGTTTCATGGCTCTTGTTCTTCTGTTAATATTTTGTCTGAAAGGCAAAATTTTAGATATTTAAGCTTGAATTTTTTAATTTCCAACTCCAACTAGTTACCTTATAACTTAGATAAGCATGGTTAACTTTCGAATAAATGGCGAAGTAAGGGGAGTTCTAGGTATATGATTATATCTCCCGCTGTATATTAATTGGGGCGGGCGGCAGTGAAGGCGACGACGCCGCTGTGGACGGCGGGGCTGGCGCGCGTGCTGCTGGGCGAGCGGCAGCCGCGCGGCGTGCAGGCGGCGCTGGTGCTGATCGCCCTGGGCGTGGCCGTCGCCTCGGCCACCGAGATGCACTTCGACGCGCTGGGGCTGGGCGCCGCGCTGGCCGCCGCCGCGCTGCTCAGCCTGCAGCACATCTACTCGAAGCGCGTCATGCGCGACACCGGCGTGCACCACCTGCGCCTGCTCCAGGTGCGCCTCTGTCGGGACTGGCGTTCGCGCGGAGCCACAGAGATATAGACCGGGACGCCGGTGCGGATGCGCAGAAGCTGGGCGGGCTGGCGCTGGTGCTGCTGCTGCCGGCGTGGGCGCTGGGCGAGGGCGGCGCGCTGTGGCGGCTGGCGCGGGGCGGGGCGGGCGCGGGGCCGCGGGTGGGCGCGCTGCTGGCGGCCGACGGCGCGCTGGCCTGGCTGCAGGCCGTGGCCGCGTTCAGCGTGCTGTCGCGCGTGTCGCCGCTGGCGTACGCGGTGGCGTCGGCGGCCAAGCGCGCCGCCGTGGTGCTGGCCTCGCTGCTGCTGCTGCGCAACCCGGCGCCGCCGCTCAACCTGGCGGGCATGGCGCTGGCGGCGCTCGGCGTGCTGGCCTACAATCGCGCCAAGCTGCGCGCGCCCCCCTCCGCCGCCGCGCACCGCCCGCTCCTGCCCGTCTGACCTTCTGGCGCCTCTCTGGAACCTCTCTTCACTCTTCAATATATCACTTTGTTAAATTACTCTTTTATTTTTCTGTCATTTCATGTCTTTCGCTTGCCGATTGTTTAAAACGTCGGGCCCCAGATAATTCATTGACCGGACAAAACACAAAATACCAATACTAGTACTTCACGCTGGTCTTCTTTGAAGTCATGACACTTAATTTTTTACTTTAAGTCATGATACTGATTGTAATTAAAAAAAAAACACAAATCTACAACTTTATTACAAATACTATGAAGTTAAATGAGATCCTTCAATAGTATCGTTTGTAAGATAAATGATTTTATGTTTATATGGAGAAAAATAGGTGAATATAAAACTAGCAATTCGCTCAGGTTCAATTTACTTTCATTGATAATTTATTAGAACAGTTAGTGTTTGTATGTCGTGATATTTCCTACACCATAGAGTGGAGGGTGGTTGGTATATGTTATTGAGCAAAATAAATTCAACTCTTACAACATACACAGGGGGGTTAGTTTTTAGTTATTGGAAGTTAAGAATGTTGCTCTGCTGAAAGCGAAGTATTATAGTTGTATAAATCGGTAAAAGTTATGTTATAACTTATCTCTAGTATACGCCATTAAGCGCACACGATTCATCGTTCTATCGGATTTCGATCTATCAGAATTAGACCCCGCTATCAAATTCAGGGCTGCATCACTACCAGATTCCACTTGGTCTTAGATATTAGATTTTTCTCATGTATAGCTCGGACGAATCGCCCAAGAAGTCGCCCGCACCGCGCGAATTTTGCAGATACGACGCGTAACATTCATAGGCTAAGGCTTGTTGAAAAAATACCTATACTTCAATATGTCGATATTTCTATCCGATTTAGTTTGATCCGATACATCGACACAAAATATTCAATATCGAAAATCGTATCAAAAACTATATTTTTTCCAAATTCGAATCTGGCACAGATCCGTAGGTGTTTCGGCTTCCTCTGTCTCTGTGAACTCAAAAAGTGGCTTCTGCCGTAAAGTAAATCTACCGATTCCTAATAATGCTGACAGTAGACCATGTGAAATACGTGTTTTACTACTTTCGCTACCGGACAAATACTGTTATGCCTGATGTAATAAATTGTTCTTGAAATATTATAAAAATTCATCATCATCATCAGCTGCAAGACGTCCACTCTTGAATAAAGATATCTCACCATAGAACGCCCCAACGAACGACACTGTCGTGCTTGGCGCACTTGCACAGCAATGCTTGGCGCATCTATTGTTATATCCTTTCCAGCATGCAAACAATTTCGAATATCGTTTTACAACGATAATTCGAACCAGAGATTTTGCCATTGCTTTTTATAAATTTTAAAGTTTTTTATAGTGCTAATCTCAGCTCTTCCGCCAAGCATTGCTTCAAATGCTAAATAACAATGTAGAAAGAAGGCGTTAAGATTTGCGTCGCTGTGGCTATCAGCCGTTTAGCTCAGTGGCTAGAGCGTCAGGCCGCGAATGCCGAAGACGTGGGTTCGATTGCCACAGCGGCTACATTCTTTTCGTACTTTATGTACTAAATGTTTTAATAAAATAGGTTATTGTCATAAATAGTTGAATAAAATAAAAAAAACAATTAATATATTGATAAAATCGTTTATTCAGGGGGGAATAATATTAATTTTGTTAAAAAGTTGCTCTTTCATATATTTTCTGAGTGTTTTTTCAATGAAACTAAATTAACTAATTGATTAAATGAATTAACTAAATGAACTAAATTATGTTTCTTCAAATCGCCAATAATCGTTTGGAAAGTCGACACCTTCTGCTACAGTTTGCGGCACTTCACTTCACTTAATCATAAGCTCAAAGTACATGTGTTCCTAATTTTTATATGTTGAAAATATTCAAAATCCTTTAAAAGTCTGTAGCTAAAGCAGACTGCTTAAGTAATAAAATAAAATTGTCCTAAAATAAAACTAAAACTACATGAAATATTATAATATTAAAAATAAGTAAAATGACAAAAATAATGGAAAAGAGGCAGATAAAATTTTAAACCAGCACTGGTTGAAATTAGGTAAAGGTAGAACAACAATTGATGCAAGAATAGAATTAATTTAGAAACATAGATTTATACTCAAAATACATAAATACCTCTAGTAAATACCTCCAGTAGCAGTTGTTGTAGTACTAGTAGTCCCAGTATTGTCAGTTCGCATTGCCAATACCGCTGTAGGTTTTACTGAAGAAGAAGTAAACTGCAAGAACAAAATAGTTATTATGTACTATTATGATTGAACCTTTATCAGAACTAAAAGAAACTTGCACAAGCGATAATAGTGTACTCTAGTGTGTACTTACCATAAATACATTTTCAGTCAAATGAATCAAATATATAGAGGCCAAAGCAACTCTTGCTGTTCAGAATCACATATTGTACATAATATAAGCATTGCAACTCATGAAAAATCATTATTGATTATATGCAAAACTATTAATAGGCCTTTATCATAAAACATATGGAACAA